AGCGTCAAATGTTCTTGATTATGATTTTTTACTTTTATCCTCCCCTATACATTATCGTTGCCCCTGTACGTCCACGCTCATTTGTACTGATTGTGAAGTGTTACCCTCTTCCTTGTTTTTATCAAATGTTTTTGATTATGATTTTTATTTTTATTTTCCCCTATACATTGTTGTTTCCTCTGTTCGTCCGTTGGCACCCATTTGTACTGATTGTGAAAATTTACCCTCTTCCTTGTTTTTATCAAATGTTCTGTAAGTATAAAAAATATTTCTTGAATTTTGGTTTTTCGTTTAGATTTGTTGTGATCACGTAGGCTATATCCGTCTATACAAGTTATCCCACTTCTAGGGTGATCCATGTACTCACAGAAATACAGTCCACCGCTGATAGTTCGAGACTACCACTGACGCGTGCACATTCGCCGTGCCGAGACCAACTTTCTGACAGTATGATACTATAAATAGCCATGGCACGTGCAATTCTCTACAAATCTATCAACTATTACAGCCGTAAAAAATTTATTGTTGACGATTTTGAATAGCAGTAAAATTAAGCTTCTTGGTTATTACAGCAGATTTAGAAATTACGTTCGTTTCATTTTTTAAATCGCTTTATCATTAACTGTACCGTTAAGAGCGGCATCTTTTGGTTTAGTACAAATAATATCTCTGAATCACTCGGGTTAGACAGGAACATGATACTAGCAATAGTTTCATTTTACTTTTACAAGCTTCTTAAAACGATTGTTGAGTTGTCTAAAGTGCTTATTTCTAAATTCAATTTCTTGTTCTAGCTTTCTGTTATGTTTCGTAAAAAAAGTAGTCTTGATTATCCCGACCTGTCAATCAGACGTAGAATGGTCGATAGACTGGTTAAGCGAGACTAATTTCAAATCAAGGGCACGTAACCTATCTTTTACTCAAAAGTGTCTGGATGTTATGGACGACACATGGAACCAGTTTTCAGTCTATTATTTATACATGATTAATGGTCATAGCTTATTAAGTACAACATGATCGTTTATTTAGTGACTATAATTGTGTGAAACTGATTTGAGGCTTGGCATATATATAAATATTGTGGCGTAATTGTCGAGATATATAGAGATATTTATTTATGGTGGGTCACCCTACCACTTCTCCAACTTTCGTCAATTGCCCTGAAATAACTAAAATTGGGATCGAATTAGTACCTTTGAGCACAATTAACAGTTTCTCAGCTAAGACCCTTCGCCCTTGGTACCCGTTATCACTCCAGAGTTAAATTCTTCAGCGAACTCCCATACATGTCAAACGCAAACGAAGTTACAGTCCATGGTAACATTGTTGACATCGTGGTAGTATTAGTGTGACAAACTAAACTTACGTTATTATCTTTGGAATAAAAATCCATAGCCAGCAAGAAGGAAACTCCGTTTCACAACCAAATATGATCGATAAAATTCGACGGCCTGGGATACTAGACGCACTCACCTTAATGTTTGTTCCACATTATAAAATTTGTAGAAAGATTAGACTATTTTTGGGTTCGGTTGGTTATTTCGCAATCGGTTACTGATAACAAGATATACGCGCGGGGTTTATGCACAATATCACGTGAAATATTAAAAATGCATTATGTAATATGTAGATAAATAGCTGGGTATTCTTGCTATAATAATTCAAAAATATGTCTTTATAATAGTAAGTGCAGGCACTACACGCAAACAAAAATCTACAAGATAAACCCGCGGACAAGACATAAAATAGAAATTGCACCAAATAAACAAATATCAAATCAAGTGAATGGATCCGGTGGCCAGCCGTAAGCGTCCACTGCGCTGTACAGCCCTGCGCCTGTTATGGTACAGGCTTCACTAAAAATGATTTAAGATATAGCTGACTGTTCTTGCTATGATAATTCAAAAATATGTCTTTATAAGAATAATATATATTGTTAGCATTTTAATACTGGCAGTATGCTCATAGTCCATGGAAGGAGTTATAAGTTGTCTACAATTCAAGCAATGTTTACACCACAATACTAATCATAGTGTCGCACGGATGTCGTCAGTGATGGTTTGAAAGAGAGAGAGAGAGAAAGAGAAATGAGGTTTAGCGTCCACTCGACACAAACTAGGTCATTTCGGGACTAACATATGGTTTAATTTTATTTCAATAATTCGCTTGCGCGTAGGGGTCTTTAGCAGTGGGAGGAAACCAGAGGACCGGGAGAAAACCCACGAGGTTGGACAGGCGACCCTACTCCTTGTCACGTACAACCGGGGAATCGAAACCAAGCCAGTTGCCTCAATGACAGACCTGATGATACAGCACACACGTGCTAACCATTCGGCCATCCAACCCCCCTTGATGGTTTGAAAGTTGATATATTGATGAGCAATGTATCATGTACGAAGAGTGGGGAGGGAAGTGTGGAGGCAAGTGGGAAGTGGGAAGGGGGGGGAGGGGACGGGGTATTCTGTTGAAAATGATCTTACTCTCTTATTTTACTGCAAATTGCAAAATGTTCAGTTTTCACTTCATTCTCAACATTTATAAAATATTTTAGTAACCAATATCAGGACAGAGAGGAAACCGGAGGGCCCGGAGAAAACCCATGAGGTAGGACAGGCGATTCTACTCCTTGTCACCTACAACAGGAGAATCAAAACCACGCTAGCTGACTCAATCACAGACTTTATGACACGGCGGACACGTGCTAATCATTCGGCCATCCAACCCCCCTCTCTACCATATGTTACTGACTCATTAAATCTAACGTTAAAGTACAAGGCCTAGACACATATATTCATTCCAAGCTTGTCTCTACAAAATATAAAATTCGTAACATTTTGAGAGAATCTACGTCATTTAAATATTGAAACATGTTGAATATTGAAATATCAATTCAAATATATATGTTTGCGGTTATTCCACTTTTTTCACACAACTCAAACTAAGAAAGAGTTTTAAATTTTAGAACAAAAGACCCATGGACCTAAGATGCGCCGCTGTAGCCTACAAACTTTCATCAGTTTACGGTTGTGCTCTTATTTTGATTTTCGTTCATCGCGGCATGTTTTCAGAATACACATTAGTGCAGTTGGAGCTTAACAGTCGAACGTTAAGCCACATTTCATTACATTTCACTTTTTTGTTATGAAATATTCAGTTTGACACCCATATAGAACACAAACCGCCAATAATTCACGTCATCTGATTATAGGAGTAGACCGTAAGGTCTTGTATCGATATTATCGAGCATTAATAAGATCAAAACTCGAGTATAGGTGTGTTGTATTTAACGGTCATCCCGCGTGTCTTATTTCAAAGACTTTGACATCATACACGATCAGTTTAATATTTCATACATCTCCGGGACCACTAACCTCTGGGAGCCACGGTGGCTAGATGGTTAAGACGCTGGCTCGCTAGCCTGGAGGCCGGGTGTTCGATCCCTGCATTGGCCCAGAAAGTTCATCGGGATTTTCCGACGTGGTTTCTTCTTGCCAGTGGTGCAGAACGGAGGGCCTGACAAGGACAGCTGTCTAGTCCGTCGGAAGAGACGAAAAACCGAGGTCCCGTGTATACATTGGAATGCACGAAAAGTTGGCAGTTGGAATTCGGTATAAGCGTAGGCGACAGTTGCCGCTGCCCGGGCAAAATTTCTCTCATAGCACGCTGTATGGCACAATGCCCGTCTTCATTAGCCCAGTATAGGAACAGAACAGTAGGACGTTAAAACTCATTTAATTTCATTCATTCATCCACTAGCCTCATTGTACGATAGACGTGATAACCTAGTCCTGCAGTATGCTACCAAACTCACATCTGTACAAAATCATATTACATATAAAATCATATTTAGACTCTATAATGAGCATTTTATATTTTCTCAAGCCTAAATTTATTTCATCTTTCGGTATTCGCATTCAATCGCTTTGTCTGACATACACGTTTATAATAAATTTTAAATAGTATATATAACCTGTGTCTTTATTTTAAGATATTTAAAATTAATATGACCTAGTGTGTGTCGAGTGGATGTTAAACCCCATTTCTCTCTGTAGTCGATAAAAACGCCTATACGAAGTTTACCCGGCCCCGTTTCCAATAAAAATAACAGGTGAGTGATTACGAAACTGTTGCGAAAGCAATGAGAATATTTTTCCTGGCGAATATTAGGATACTGTTCCTCGTGTTTACAACACTCCATTTACGACCGCCCACGAACATCTTGGGATGTCTAGCGATCACCTTGCGAATTGGTGGCGAATCGGTATTTGTCAGTGATGCAGCATAGATGGCCTGGCAAGGATTAACGCATAGTCGTTCTGATGTGACGAAAAGGCGAGGTCCCGTTTACACATTTGCGAGCACGTAAAAGATTCCTTGGCATTTGGGATTCGATATGAAAGTAGGCAGTAAGCTCGTATCCATTCGCACCGTCTGAGCGGAACAGTGGGCTGTTAAAAGTACATTTCGTGTTATTTTTATTTCTATTGATTACTGTTAAATGTATGTAGTTCATAGGGGGATCAAGGTGGCTAAGTGGGTAAGACGCTGGCTCGCTAGGTGGAGGTCGGGTGTTCGATCCCTGCATTGGCCGAGAAAGTATTGTCGGTGATGCAGGACGGAGGGCCTGACAAGGACAGTTGTCTAGTCATTCGGATGAGACGAAAAACCGAGGTCCCGTGTACACATTGACGTGCACGTAAAAGATCCCTTGAAAGTTGGAATTCGATATAAGAGTACGCCGTAGTGCCGCTGTCCGGGCAAAATTCCCCTCATGGCACACTGTATGGCGTATGCCCGTCTTCCTTAGCCCAGTTCGGAGCAAAACAGTAGGACGTTAAACCCCATTTCATTTCATTTGTAGTTCATACCTTGATGAAATGAAATACATGAATATTGTAATAAAACAAAAATATTATTTAATAATATTATATGTAATACGGCAATCGATATAGTCTTTTTGAAATGAAATTTAATCAATACCTGTGACCTAGTAGTGTTACAACGGCAACATATGGTGACTGATAGTCGACATTACGAGTTTATCACGTCGAAGCTGAATATATAAATATAAATAATGCTTGTATAAAACTAGAAATTTAGGAACACATTGCTTGATTCTTGATAACGATAAAAGAATAATTGTCGAATGTTTTCCATGTAGTTTATGTTGTGTTATTGTATTCTGCTCAACCACTGAACGCCACGCCAGGAGTTTAGGTTTGTAGATTTCTAACTTTGTTGTGTTATTGTATTCTGCTCAGTCACTGAACGCCACACTAGGAGTATATAGGTTTGTAGATTTCTAACTTTGTTGAGTTTGTTACCATGTATCACATAAATCCAGGAACTTTAAGCTTTGCTTCCACTGTAGGGTGTTCGATGGCTCAATGGTTAGCACGTGCGTGATGTATCATAAGGCCTGTCACTGAGACAACTGTTCAACTTTGTGGCTTTTCTTCGGGTCCTCCAGTTTCCTCCCACTGCTAAAGACCCCTACGCATATTAATTTGTACAAGGGCCCTCCGTCCTGCATTATTATGATTATTAACTATTGACTATTCAAATGGGACTGTCTGCCTAGCCGTCACACTTAATGGGACTGTCTGTCTAGCCGTCACACTTTTTGGGACTGTCTGTCTAGCCGTCACACATTTTGGGACACAATAACTCCAGGGCCGTAACTAGCTCAGAGCAACGAGGGGGACGACGGGAAGTGTTCTCGGGGGTGCTGTAATATTGACGGACAATGTATATCTATTATTTTTATTGTCGATAATTTTTTTACAGGGGGGGGGGGGGCGAAACTTTTTGCGCCCCCCCCCCCCCCTAGTTACGGGCCTGAATAACTCTCCTTCTAATTGAGGTAGAATGTTTAAACTTATTATTAGTTTTTAGTTTAATGCCTTGATCGAGTTTGAAGGTAAGAATTTTCTGCTTAGGGTAAGCAGAGATAAGCAATTTGATTGGTTGATGCTTTGGGACACGATAACTTTAGTTTTAATTAAGAGAGAAGGATGAAACTTGGTTTATAGTTTTATTACATCAATACCACGTACAAACGGGGATTTGACTCAATGACAGGCTTTATGATACAGCGCGCACGTGCTAACTATTCGGCCATCCAAACCCCATGAAATAAGAAAGAAAACTGGCTGTCATTGACAATTACTAAACAGAAGATAAAATAACTAATACTTACGCTCTGTTTTCTTTTATTATCTGTTACATTTTTATTTCAGGCAACAATTTCTAGACACGTCCAAAATGGCATTTCCTCGAAGACTGGTGACTGCAAAATTAGGGGCTGTTCTTTTGTTGATTTCGTTAATAGCTGCGTCGATTGGAATCATCTCGCCATCGTGGTCTAAATTTGATAATATAAATCTAGGAATTTGGAGGACATGTTTTGGAAACAATAACGAATTTAGGAATTGTCATTTAACTATCGCTCTTCATAGAACAGGTACAATAATTGCATATTTTCTTTAGGTGTGGGCATGCTCATTAATCAAAATGTCTGCTTCAAATTTGATCGAGTAAAAAGTGGACATTTTATTATTTTAGATATTTAAATAATACGAAGACGAGAAAAAATGACGTAATTTAACACCTTCATCCATAACTTAGGATTGACACACACACAAACTTGATACATTACCATTTTTTAACAGATTAATTAATAGTGCATTTCAAACAAGTTTTACATACATACATATTTAAACACCACATTTACATTTCGAGAGCTGGTCAAAAACACGTGATTAAAAGATGCATTATACAAGAGCTTAATCTGCCTACCATAATCAACTCTCGTTGTCATCGCATGCTCGAGATTTTCAACGGATTTAAACACGATTGACAGTTAAGGATTTAATGACATAATGGATAATCGAGACTGTTTAGTATCGTAGCAATGATAATCGAGACTCTAGATTTAAAGACGATTAGTGGTTAATGATTTAATTCAAAAATGCATGAACGTGACTTTGTTTACATTGGGAACAACGGTCGCGTTTGCAAATTCTAACTCCTAACTCCGCTATTCTCCAAACTGCCCAAACATCGCCCAGAATTAAGTATTTGGACTGAAATTATTCAAAATATTTCCTTTTCATTATCTAGTTTTTACCTACTATAGCGAGAACGGTCAACTCTTTATCCAAATCTGACATAAAGCTGCGACACTACGGTGTTGTTACGTCTTGGCTCTCTAATCAGGAGCTTTCACGTTGTGTATAAACTTTTTCCAATGATGAATTAACTGACTCTGGAACTCTGTTTATGTTAACTATGTTTTTATATCTTTACTAGCAGGATACCCGACTTCGCTCGGGGGTCATACCTCCGAAACCGGAAGTGGTAGACTAACGCCACCTGGCCTATGTTACTCCCCGGTCCGAGCTACCCCTATACCCCAAATTTCAGAATCGGGACAGAACTAGCGTAGCCGCCAACCCCGAACAGACAGACAGATAAACAGACAGACAAACGACAGTCACAAATATTAGTATAGATGACATCCACAATACAATGGTTAAATACAGGAAACTACAACATCTATGATAGGACGTTATGTTTTTTTGTATAATATCTACAGTCTGAGTTTAACAAGCCTTGAACTCAGACCTAACAGCTGAAACACTACATGTTGTCTCTATCCCGACCTCTAAGCCGAGGCGGCTGTGCGTCCCTCTAGGAACAGCAATGGTGTCCTCCGCAGGACCTCCAAATGAGGTCTTCACCCTAGAAACTCCGTATGATGTCTAAAGAAACTTAAACCCCGCACGTTCGTTATAAAGAAAGTATAGATGCGTTTTAAGTCAACATTATTCTATTTAATTCTACTAATCTGTGCACTAGATGGATGGATGATAGTAAACCCCTTCCAGAAATGGGTACCGGCACAACTGTCAGTGAGTTAGTTTAAGAAAGTAGTAGAATAATGCAAGGTTATTCATTAGCCTAGTTTTTGCAAAATATCATGTTAATTGTGTATCTTTGAATTTTACATAGATTTGTTTACTGCTGCTATGAGTTTCGTGATAATTGGCGTTGTATTTTTGTTTATATCAACATGTGCAGCTTTTTGTGCTACCAGTAGAGTGGTTGGCGCTGTTTTAGGTATACTAGGAGGTAAGTGTTATAATTTGATATCATCACATTATCCTGACATTCAGCCGTTATAAACTGAACTAGTTGGTAGCAAGACTTCATATACTTTAATGATGGTATTCAATAATTTTGTGTATTTGTAGAAATCAAATCAATCGCCAAAATTGTCAAGAAGTAACCAATTTTCTGTACAAAATATTGAACTATTTATTTCCCAGGGTTACACAACTCATTTAATGAGTTATGGCCAATTGGTTTTGTGTAATGTGCGTCTCGCGTGATTCAAGCTTACAGACACGATACTTGTAAATTATGTTTCTAAACAAAAAATAAGGCAAAGAGATAGGAACCACTGTCCTTAGAATTGGTGAAACTTTAGACCGCCAAAACGTATGATCTATATGAAAAGTGTTCTATCGTTATTTAGAACCTTGTAGATACACATGGAACTAATATAAACGAATGTAAACTTCAAATGGAGAATATTTGCTAAATATTTATTTTCTGTATTGAAAGGGTTGATTGTTAAAGAATACTTGCTATACATTTATTTTCTTTATTTAAAGGTTTGATGATTTTTATCTCTGTTGTGCTGTACTATGTGAATGTATCTTCCAAGCCTGAAAACGAGATTCTCGACTGGGGTTTCTTCTTGTCAGGGATGTCCGGGGGTCTTGGTTTTATAGGCGGATTGCTCTCAATACCCGGTCAATACCAAAAGGTCTAAACAGCTTATTAATAAGTATCATATTTCTCATTGTGTTTATAAAAGATTGACCTACATATCTGTTACTGTATTTGCTTGTGAAAGTTGAGAGGATATTCCTCGAATTGTCGCACAAACAATTTAGTTATTGTTATACGAGAAATGGCTGAAAAGTTCTAAGCCTATCTGTGAAAGTGTTATATGGACTGATATAAGAAATGGGGGCTAAGAATCGATATCACGCTACAGTTCGAATTGTCGCACAAACAATTTAGTTATTGTTATACGAGGAATGGCTTAAAAGTTGTAAGCCTATCTGTGAAAGTGTTATGTGGATTGATATAAGAAATGGAAGCTGGAAATTGATATCACGCTACTCGACTCAGTGACAGACCAAGTGATCTGATATGTACGAAATCAAATCAGCAGTCGTGGGGTTGGCAGCTGTTATCCAGTGTCCCCTCCCCCCACCCTCCATTCATTAACAGTTTAACCGGAAGTTTCAAGGGGACAAACAATAATAATAATAACAAAAACATCGAGAAAACCCCTCAATACCACATTCTCGCTTCCAGTTACAAGTTGCAACGAATTCTCCCCGAATTAGTTCTGTAATCAATCATATGTTGGGGAAAAGAACAGATCGATTTTTATAGTTCCAATTTTGGTTTTACTACACTAGGATCTGGAAGAGTTGTTATATAAAACGTGTTTTAGACGATGTGAGGAATTGGCCAATGAAACGGTCTGTAATTATGGCGAGTTTTAGGCATGAGATGCACGGAACAGCTGCCACCGATAATTCAACCGTAGTGGAACATCTCCAGAACCATCCACAACATAGCGATAAATGGAACTTGTTTCAGATACCCACGGCTAACTAACAGAACAAGAAAACTAGGAAGATCATAGACTCTATAAATATTAGAAGATATTCACCTGAACTTAATATGAACTTATATCTTTAGGGCATATGATGATGTAATTATGATGCATAATATAATTTAAATATGGTGTTTTCTTACATTGGCTGTATTAACATCACCACTTTTTGATTGTTAAGTTCTCGCTATTATAGATTCTCCCACACCCGTTATCTTATTTATTGGACTTATTTTGTTTATTTAATCAGCTCATATTGTGTATTGTCATATTTGTATTTATAAATGCATATGTTATTTTATTCTTGGTGTATGGCCTCACTATCTTTTCCTTATCAGCTACATCATGTTTATGTATTCAGTTTCGCCCTTTGAAGGGTCCCTTAACGGGCTCTAATAACCCCTACTCGTTCTAATTGTTGTTTCATGTTGTGCTTGTTGTGTTTGTTAAATATCCGTTACCTTTTAGATTTGTTACTGTTATTTTAATCCACGGTGAAATTTTCACTAGAAATTTCGTATATATTGACCTCAAGTTTACCAAATTTCATTGTACTTGATAACGATAAGAGGATACTTGTCGAAACGTCGTGCTTTTACAATAAAAACTGTGTTCTGTTAAACTTTTTTCGAGGCTGACTACACTTTGGAACATTAAAATAGACGAGAATGGATCGATAAGCACATTAATTTAACAAGAAGTAAACTGATTTACATTCAGGTATTATACACTTACATTAACGTTTGACTGTATTATGTCACCACCTACGTCTGTCCGTCAGCCCTGCTGTCAACAATTGGCTCTTTAACGCGATAGAGGCCACAGTTGTTAGCAGTTTTTGTTTCAAAATCGACGTGCAGCATTTTGGTTAGGATAAGACGACCCCTATCAATTTCCAGCTCTCCTTGTTAATATGTTAAGAGTCTACAGCTTTTCACGGATTATTTTCAAATGTGGTTTGAAGAGTTGGGTTCATCAGATGGCTAACCCTAGTTATTGTGCAGCTCTGGGGTTTCTTAAATGGCAAGATGACAGTTGTTTTAATCGTTGGTAAAGTATATTATCTATAACATAAGTAACAAAAGAACAATAGAAACACATGTATACACTGGATAAACAAGACGTAATCATAACTTAGGGAGGTTTAAACACTTATTTTGAATACTCGCTTATACGTAGACACGAATATAGAAGCGGACTTGCTATTTACATGTCCTTATGCAGTACGTCATATTTGATTGAGTCGACAATTATAATAATTAAATGAAATGTGGCATTAGTAAATTATTAAACTATGTCCAATTTAACCAGGGCCGTATGCAGGATTTTAAAACTGGGGGTGCAGCAGAGTGGTGGGGCGCCATAGCTTCCACGTAAGTCATATAAGAAAGTTTGGATCAGGGCAAACGAACCCATTGGCGTGTGGGCGCCCTTAAAACCGACCGACTGATCAGTGCCTTAAGAGCATCACTGTGATCATAATCAAGTGTATTATTTTATAATTGAAAGATTGTCAAATTATTTTTTTTTGTGGGGGCGCCTTATTTTTCTGGGAGTGCAATGTACCCCCGGCACCCCCGCTCGGTACGGGCCTGAATGCAACATAATATCCAAAAGAAGCCTCTATGTAAAAGCGTTTATTGATTACTCTACGTCACGAATAATATCGATTTAACAGATTTTGTAAAATAGATGAAAACGTGGATAATAGATAGAAATGGGGTTTAACGTATACTCGACACAAACTAGGTCATTTCGGGACTAACATAGGGTTTAATTTTATTTCAATAATTCGCTTCCGCGTAGGGTTCTTTAGCAGTGGGAGGAAACCGGGGGACCCGGAGAAAACCCACGAGCGTGGGCAGGCGACCCTACTCCTTGCCACGTGCAACCGGGGATTCGAAACCGCGCCAGTTGACTCAGTGACAGGCGTTATGATACAGCGCGCACGTGCTAACCATTCTCAATGAATTTATAAACTTTGGAACACGCTGTTTCAAATAAGCTTGCGGGCCACCTTGAAATTTATCTTAGATCGAAGATAGCGGCCAAAAATCCAAAATAGCTGCCAAAACTGATTGTGGTCTATTATGATAAAGAAAGATCGTTCAGTCATAATAAATTACAAGCGGTACTTTATTAATACTTAAATCCAAGATTGTTATATAACTCCAGTTTTAATTGTGATATGGTTATAATTTTGGTGTCCAGTCATCGGTTTTTGTGGTCAAGGAATCATTGGATTATACAAACTGTACAAAGAAACGGGAGTGCATTCACCATATTAAATGCAAACGTTGGTTTCATTCCACATATGCACATATTGAAGACCTACTTCCAGCCTCGGGGAAAGGGAGGTTATTTTTTGTGTGGACTTTTAGTGATGACTTTACTTTCAACAATGTTGGATCATTACTTAGGTGAGTAGATTACTACTCGTTTCATTTGAAACTTGAAATCCAAGTGAAAGTTTCAGATATTAGCCATAAAATTAAATTTACCTGGATTAAGTTTATATGACGCTAGCGAAGCACGCTCTATGGATAAACTTAAACCATATTGAGACATGAAAGTGTCAAAATCTTATAGAGCAGTCAACAAAGAAGAGTTAATAGGGGGCTCAGTTGTGGAAATGCGGACTTTTAAAGTTACCCTACTCCCATTCATTTGAATTATGAACGCAATATTCAGGTGAATTGACCAACTTTCAAAATTCTACATACTAGTTCATTGTCCATTAGGAAATGCGCATATTGTAAGCATCAAAGTATTATTTTTTGATATGACCACTTCCATGTTATTCATGCTCAAGCGACAAGTTCATAAAATCATCAATACTTCCTTATATATACATGTTGGCAACATCTGGAGCTTTGATCTGAGCATATTTTCAAATAATAAAATTTATATAAACATCGTTTAATCAGGAAATGAGGATAGAAATAAACTATTTGTGAGTTAAAGGGACAAATATATTAGACAGGTCCTGTCAGGCAACAATAGCACCGTTTTTTAGTCAAAAGTTTTCTCAGTGGATTTATATACTTTGGAACAAACTATTTGCCTTAAATCCATGATGGCGGCCATAAATCCAAAATGGCTGCCAGAATAGCTAACACGCTATTTCTGAGAGTTGTTATTGCCCATTGATGATCTATTGTCATAAAGAAAGATCGTTCAGTCATAAAAAAATACAAACGGTACTTTATTTACACTTAAATCCAAGATGGCAGTACAATTACCTTGATAAACCACATACTTATTCCAATTTATATTTTATGCATAATTTATGATGGCTAAACAGTTTTAATATATTTTATTTTATTATGATTTCGGCATAGTGTGCGTGTTATTATGTTGTTTTTTAAATTAATAATTCGAATTGAACAGGGAAAGGGCACACATATCCACTATATATCGTATCAAAATTTATTAATCTTTATGACTGTTTTTATATGTGACAGATAAATATTCGGGGCGAATATATTTTTAAAAATCTGAGAGTATTATTGTAGTAGAGTGAATTGAGACCCAATAGAAAATCTTTAATACGTCCTGCTAATCCGCACAGTATATCTTAATTCAGTAAAATAAACTGAGCGCCATGGAAAACGCATTAGTTTTTTTTCCCAAATATTTTATTACTAGGTGGTTTTGAATGTATAATATTATGCAATACTATGAATTATTGTTTCACACAATGCTCCCAAACGCAAAAAATATCGGCCCGTGTGCAAAAAGATGCACATGAAAAAACCCAATCTTCACGTGCAGCATTGTGTGTGAGCCCTTTAAAATCATGTTTTCAACTTAATGTGCAGTACATGAACTGTGAAACGTCAATCTGTCCCAATTTGTTGTTGGACGTGTGAAGGAATCGAGCTAGAGATGCCGAGACTTACTGAAAATCAACGGATTGAAGCCATGGGAATGTCCAGGGCTGGCATGTCGACTACACGTACTATTGCCAGACACTTCAATTTAAGAACAGCTATTTCATTTCCTAGGTTTTCCGTAATAAGGGAGGTCATAGCCTTAAAATAAGATGTCGACGCCCATGAAATTAATTTAAGAATTGTCACTTCGTCACGATTCGTGTTTATTTATAATAATGCACGAATTGTTGGATTTATTTCAGGATGGGGCGCAACTCTTTCTTGACTTAAGCTACAACGTTCCATTGCCCATGCGTAACTGGGAGTATGATTTCTATGTGGTTGATTATCCAGTAAATTTTCATCATATGTGTACAACTGACCCAGACTCGCCGTACGTTGGGGACTAGGTTCTGGGTGTCCGCTACTAACGGACATACGCCATTTAGTGTATTATGATGGACATTTAGTCTGTTTTAATGTTCCACAGCGTGGTCAACCTCAAATATAGTTAACAGAACACAGTTTTTATGGGATACAATCACTAGTTTTATTCCCAAAGCACCAAGTTTCGATAAGTATCCTCTTATCATTATCCAGTTCAATGACATTTAGTAAATTTGAGGTCAATATATACGAAATTCATAGTGAAACCATTACCATGGATTAAAATAACAGTAACAAAAATAATCTAAGAGGTAAAGGATATATAACAAGCACAACAAGGTAATTAGCTTACTGAAACAACATTAAGACTGAGTACGGGTTATAAGCCCGTTAAGGGGCCCTTCAAAGGGTGAAACTGAATACATAAACATGGTGTAGCTGATAAGGAAAAGCTATTGAGGCCATATACAAGTAAATTTATAAATACAAATATGACAATACACAATATGAGCTGACTTAATAAACAAAATGAAATGAAGTGGGGTTTAACGTCCTACTGTTCTGCTCCTAAACTGGGCTAATGAAGACGGGCATACGCCATACAGTGTGCTGTGAGGGAAATTTTGCCCGGGCAGCGGCGCTACGGCCTACACTTATATCGAATTCCAACTGCCAAGGGATCTTTTACATGCACGCCAATGTGTACACAGGACCTCGGTTTTTCGTCCCACCCGAACGACTAGATAGCTGTCCTTCTCATGCCCTCCGCCCTGCATCACTAACAAGGGGAAACCACGCCAGAAAATCTGGATGAACTTTCTCGGCAAATGCAGGGATCGAACACCCGACCTCTAGGCTAGCGAGCCAGCGTCTTTCCCACCGTGATCCCCGACTTAATAAACAAAAATAGTCCAAAACATAAGGCAACAGGTGTGGGAGAATCTATAATAGCGAGAACTTAACAATCAAAAAGTGGTGATATTAATACAGCCATTGTAGGAAAACGCCATAGTTAAGTTACATTATGCACCATAATTAC